TTCGTCGGATTCTACAAGATTTCAACCGATTTTGCGCCCAAACTTTGCTTGCTTTCACTGGTGAAACTAAAGCGTAGTTTTACGCTTTATTCAAGCATAGAACTACGCTTGAAGACATTACGCCCTTCTTGAAGCGTACAAGTACGCTTCAAGGAAATTCCCCCTTACATTAAGATAGGAGGAAAGCAGCGCATGAGCTCTTGTACGCTTCAAGAAGGGCCTAATACTACGCCTTAGTTTTACCAGTGTTTTACCATTTTTCGTAGATGATGTCGGATTTCTAGTGATTTTGGGCCGAGGGGTGAATCACTAGTGTACTCATGAGTACAAATTGGTCCGTACTCAGTGTACTCACAAGTTTCAAAAGAGCAAAATTTGCTCATTTTTTAAACGATTTGGCGTTGTGAGTCGTCTAAACCGTTGAATAAAGCCAAAAAACGTTTAAGGATGTAAAATTTCTGAGAATTAGACTGTGTACTCAACCGTACTCATGTACTCATGTGTAAACCATAACGCTGAGTGATGCACCCCTCGTTTTGGGCGCTCTAGTGGGCACAGGATCTCGCGAGTGGTTGCCCCCTCGCCGAGGGGCCGAGGGGGGGTTTCCAGTCGGTCAGACGACGGGGGCAAAGCGTTACAACGTTCCAACAGGAGGCACGTTGGCTAGGCTCTCACCTCCCTGAGGCCGCTCGGCTCGAAGGCTTGCCGGTACCTCACCAACAGACCTTGGACCTCCATGGCCATGGTTTGGAACTAGAAAAGAGGGAGAACAGCTTACAGCGGTGGTAAGCGAAGAGAGCCTCTATAAACCGAAGTGTGTCCTCAGTATGCATTTGAAGATGCGTACTTGTAAATACTCATCACCCACAGACGCATACTTGGCTCAGCCAGGGTCTGAATACACTCCTGCAGATGCATACTTAGCTGAGTACACATCTATAGATGGATACTTGCCTGAGAGCACCTAAAGTTGTGAACTCTCATCCAAGTAAGCATCTGCAGGTGAGAACTCAGCTAGATATGCATCTATAGATGTGCACTGTTAAAAAATTCCGTTCTCAAACAGAGCGGTTCAGTCGTAAGCAGCCAAAATACTTTTACTTGTTGCCGGGAAACGAGGAATATTTGGTCTAACCTGAGTGTATCTAATGATATACAACATGTCGGATGACCATTTCGAATTGTAATGCCGTCAGTAACTGAAACCAGTTCGGTGAAAATGACGATCAAAGGTAGGAATGACTCGCACCATTTACAAACGGCAAAAAATAACGCAAATTTTTAAAACAATGCCCACTGTTAAAGGATATATATAACAGAAAAAGGCGTTATGCGAATGATGTTTTTTCGTTTGTGAACACGTAATTTCTGTTTCCAAACAGATTTTTGTTTTGAAAGCGCATTTTTCATAACCATATGGTAAAATTTTGTTCCAGAATTATTATTTTTTGTTTTAAAACAGAGATTTGCCGTTTGAGAACATCAGTAGTCGTTTTTAAACTTTGCACGAATTTTCCATTCTAAAACGGCTGGATTCTAACAGTGTGTACTCTGCAAAGTATGCACCTACAGTAGTGCTGAGTATACGTCCACAACATATCGAAAGGTCATACTTCTCGCCACTCCAGAGGCGAAACATAAAGACTCGCCAAGTTTTGGTCGGATCTAAAAGTATTAAAATTTGGTCAGACAAAAAAGGTCTTGCCAGTAAATGGTCAGACAAAAAGGGTCTTGCCAGTAAATGGTCAGACACCCGTAGGCCGTAATCAGGGGGCGGCAACGGCCTAGGAGGCGCGTAAAGCCATGCGCGAGTAAGGTGCAGGGGTTACTTATTTTGCTTCGATTGTGAGATCTAGGCCGTTTGATTGCAAAACGCTTTGCACAGATCAAAAGAGCACAAAATTTGGGGTGCATTAGGCCCAGTGGACTGCCCGATACTTCCAATTCAACGGAACACAAGGGCAAAATCATTTACACCAACATGGCGCATTCGAGTTTTTTCATAAATTTTATGATTTTTGTGTTTTTTGGTGTTTTTACTGCACCTTAATATTAGGTAAGGGAGGAGTTTCGAGAAGGGCAATTAGCCTAATGCACCCTAAATTTCAAGCCCTTTCTATCGGTGCAAAGTGTTTTGAAAAACACAGTCTAGTTTTCATAATCTCGAACAAGTGCGCAACCTCTGCACTGACGGCGCGAGCATCGCTTCACGCTCTCCCTAGGCCGTTGCCACCCCCTGCCGTAATGCGCCGGACGGTTACCGCCTAAAGGCCGTCGTCAGACACAAAAGTCTCACCATTTTGTGGCCATTTTGTGGCGAGACTTTTGTGTCTGATCATTTTGTGGCAAGACTTTTTTGTCTGAAAAAAACTTTAAAGTCTCGCCATATTTTGGCGCGAAGTCTTTCCACCCAATGGGCAGTGTTTCAGTTTGTAGAGAGCTTGACTCAGATTCTGCCAGCTGGAGTAGCCAGGGTCTACCTCGAGCGCCACCCAGTGGCACACCGCGGCGACGGCGACGGTGTAGGCAATGAAGATGCCGTAGTAGAGCAGCGTCAGCACGAGGTCGGTGTCGTCGAGGTGCCCGTCGAAGATGTCGAGTGCACCCGTCGTGAGGCTAGCGAGGTACACCAGCTGCACCAGGATGCAGGGGCCGTTGATGTCGCTGGACTTGCGCACCATGTCGTGGAGGAGGAACTGCCGCTGCCGCACCGCTCGCCAGGCGAGGTCCTGGAGGGCGTCATTGTGGCCCCGGGTCGCCAGCACCATCCGCTCGCAGTCGACGCGCAGGTCGGCGGCCGCGGCGCGCAGCACCGCCAGCGGGCACACGACGCGCAGGCACATGCAGGCGGCCGCGAGCGAGCCCAGCGAGACGAGCACCACTCGCGCGACGGCCTCCACCACGCCGACGCCGCCGATCTGGCTCGTCTGGTACGCGCCCTCGGCCAGCGGGGGCGCCGTCATGGCGGAGAACAGGAACAGGGAGCGCCAGCGGCCCGCGCCCAGCGGATGCGCGTCCAGGTACGCCTTGAGGCTGCCCAGGAGCACGGCCAGGTCGCGGCGCCGCGCGGCGTACACCAGGGCCTCGACGAGCATCAGGAAGCCGTGCAGAGTGGCTGTGGCAGACAGATTCCTGGGGCCGACCACCACCACGAAGCTGGCGATGTTGGCGAGCTGGCAGCACGAGACCGCGGCGAGCACCGCGACGAGGGGCATGGCGCGCGCGCGGCCGTGCCGCCACCAAACCGGGACGATGCCCAACAAGGCCCCTAGCCAGCAGCCCGCCGCCCACAGGCCCAGCGTGGCGCCGCGGAAAGCCATGAACCCGAAAGGGTATTCACAAGCGGATTATTCTACACTGCAAGAAAAAAACCACAACAAATGTACACGAATTCCTGAAATTTTTTAATCTGGAATTTATTGTACTTTCAACCGTTGCTGTACAAAGTACAATGGAACCAGTAGGACGAGTGCTGTGCAGTCCCGACAGTCGTGGCCTCGTTGTGGTTTGTACAATTTTCGGTTTTGCTACTTTTGTTGTGGTTTTTTTGTACTTTTGTGTCCTATTCACAATTTTTCGGAGTGACACTCAGTTGGTGTTGCGCAAAATGCGGTAACCATTTCACCCCCAAACTGTCAAAAATGTCGACTTTTGAGGCGCAAGAGCGAAGGAACTGCGCGTAATATGGCTCTCTGAACGCGACATAGTGGAGCGTATACCGCCCCGTGGAACCGCACTGAGGCCTCAAAGTGTCGGTGCGTTCTGGGCCGACATTATTTCCTCCGCGCCCCGCCGAGGAGGCGCTTTGTCGAACGGCCTGGTCTGCTCTTGTCAAAGGCATCGAGCGAGTTCACTCGGTCAAGGAACCTGTAGATGCGTATGTGCGTTGGCTTAGATAGCTATAATGCGGTCTTGTTTCCAGTGTAGACCTACTTAAAATGTAACTTCTTTTTTAATTTCTCATACTTTAACAAAATATGCGATTATGCACGCGCATAATTTAGTGGTCTCTATTGTTGTACTTTTAACAGTTGCTGTACAAAGTACAATGGAACCAGTAGGACGAGTGCTGTGCAGTCCCGACAGTCGTGGCCTCGTTGTGGTTTGTACAATTCTCGTTTTCCTGCTGTACTTTTGTTGTATGGTTTTTGTTGTACTTTTGTTGTCCTATTCACACTTTTTCTGGCAGTGGAGCTCTCAGTTCGGTTGTTGCGCAAAATGCGGTAACCATTTCACCCCCAAACTGTCAAAAATGTCGACTTTTGAGGTGCAAGAGCGAAGGAACTGCGCGTAATAGTGATGGCTCTCTGTACGCGACATAGCGGAGCGTATACCGCCCCGCATGGAACCGCACTGAAGGCCGTCAAAGTGTCGGTGCGTTCTGGGCCGACCATTCCTCCGCGTCCCCGCCGAGGAGGGCGTTCTTCTGTCGAACGGCCTCTTTCTGCTCTTGTCAAAGGCATCGAGCGAGTTCACTCGGTCAAGGGAACCTTGTGCGATGTGCACTGTAGAACGAAGCCTTTCAGGAAAATTGAGACATCTTGGCCTCACACTAGTAGGTCACAATTTGCAGATGGACTTCTTTCAAGAACGCCTCGCACCACTCTACAAAAAATGTCCTGTCAACGCCGTTAATTTATTACCAATGTTTGCTGTTATGCAATTCACGGCGTTTGCTGTGAACTAGTTCACGGCGTTCACTGTGATCTCGGTCACAGTGATCACTGTGATCTGGCCACAGTAAACGCCGTGAATTGGAGCCTGATTTGCAGTACTTCGGTGCTCAGCGGCGTCAAACTCACAGTGTTTACTGGGGACCAGATCACAGTGAACACTGTAACCGAGATAACAGTAAACGCCGTGAACTAGTTCACAGCAAACGCTGTGAATTGACCTACAGTGAAAACTGGTAATAAATTAACGGCATTTACAGGACATTTTTGGTAGAGTGACAGATCAATGAGTGCAAAACATTGATTCCTGAAGGTTTCGATGTGTTGATCACGAAAATTACACACACTGAGAAAACCTTACAAACTATTTTGGGCCTTACAAAGAAAATTAGTTTGTATAATAAAGTATTTTGAGCATACGTAAGCTTACAAAGAAAATACTTCGTAATTTACGAACTATTTCTTCGTATAACAAAGTATTTTAGTTTGGTATATGTATGCTCAAAATACTTCGTAAGGTTTTAAGAGTGCATAACTTTTGCTCTGAAACCTAATATTTCTACCCGGAATGAAGCAGTTTAGACTCAAATATTGATGCCGAGTATCATATTGATTCCTGCGTTCAAATCCTGCCAACGCAATCTTCGGAGATTGCCGAAGGGAATGAAAAGGGGCTGCCGAAGGCAGGCTGGCGCCGCAGGCCGCTCTACAAATCGAAGAGTGTACATTAGGGTGCCGCGAAAAACACTTTTTTCTGAAATTGATATCGGCTCGGGTGGCAAAGTGTTCTCTCAAGGGCCAATATGAACGGATTTAAATATCACCCCGATCGGATAATATCTTCAGCCCCCACAACTGCCTTGAAAATCGGAAAAATGGTTTAAAACGCCTTGTGGGTAGGCAATTTGTTTGCACGCATCCGGCCACTTCCAGGCATGTCCTTGGGCGCAAAAAGTCGAAAGGGGACCGACCCCCTTAGCCTAAAATAAATTTGTGGACAACCTCACTAAATGATTAATACCAGTTTCTGCAAAGTTAACGCATGACATTTAACAATTCTGTCATGATTTGCCTGTAAATTCCCACGTATGTCAGTTTCGCCAATTTCGGCCGTCTTTTTCTCCGATCTGACTTACTTCCTGAGGTCAGAAGGGTCGATTTAGGGGGGGTTCATTTTGGGTCAAAAATCGCTAGGACGCTCCGTTTGGCGGGAAAATTGGGTCAAAATAAGCGAAATTGCAGAAAAATTGATTAATTTTACCCAATTTTCCCGCCAAACGGAGCGTCCTAGCGGTTTTTGACCCAAAATGAACCCCCCCTAAATCGACCCTTCTGACCTCAGGAAGCAAGTCAGATCGGAGAAAAAGACGGTCGAAATTGGCGAAACTGACATACGTGGGAATTTGCAGGCAAATCATGACAGAATTGTTAAATATCATGCGTTAACTTTGCAGAAACTGGTATTAATCATTGAGTGAGGTTGTCCACAAATTTATTTTGGGCTAAGGGGGTCCCCTTTCGAGTTTTTGCGCCTAAGGACATGCCTGGAAGCGTGCAAACAAATTGCCTACCCACAAGGTGTTTTTAACCATTTTTCCGATTTTCAAGGCCGTTGTGGGGGCTGGAAGATATTATCCGATCGGGGTGATATTTAAAACAGTTCATATTGGCCCCTGAGAGAACACTTTGCCACCCGAGCCGATATCAATTTCAGAAAAAAGTGTTTTTCGCGGCACCCTAGTGTACATGGTATGCTCTAACTGGAGCATGCCTGCAAGCACGCTCTAGCTAGCGCATGCCTGCCAGGCATGCACTAACTAGAGCATACATGCCATGTACACGCTAACTGAAGCACGCATCTAGTGCATAAGGGATAGGGAGTTGTCTGCATCAGGAAGCGTGTACATGGCATGTATGCGCTAGTAAGTGCATGCTTGGCAGGCATGCGCTAGTTAGAGCGTGCTTGCAGGCATGCTCCAGTTAGAGCATACCATGTACACTCTTCGATTTGTAGAGTACGCTCAGACGCGGTCTGGCCTACACCTTCTTTGTAGTGAAAAGTATCTCAGATGGCTTTCGTTGTACTTTATTGAAATTCAACTGTGAGGGACAGTAGTGGTCTTCGACTACTGATTTTGGGGCTTCTGCTATGATCCTGGACACGCAGTTCGCGGCAACAGGAGGACGCGGTAGGGTTGCGGGCTCTGCGTCAGACCCGGCACAGGCTCGGTGGAGGGCGGTGCCTCGCCCGGAGGCACGACAAGGCGGAAACGCTGCAGCAGACCCGCCAAGAACAAGAAGAGGCAGTTCCGGGCCAGCACGTCGCCGAAGCATCGTCGCTTTCCTGCAACCAACGTGGTCCAACAAAAATATATGATTGGTGTTGAGCTTAACTGTCGTCCAAAAGTGATCCTTTGGCCCTTCACTGTTAAAAAGAAATCTTAAATTTAATACACAACACACTCTTAAAAGCCTACGAATCATTTGCTTTTCTTAGGTTGGGTCGGTAAGCTTTGAAATTTATTGTGGAATTGCAGTTGAACTGTATTTAACCATAGTTACGTATCAAGAACCTATATAGACCCAATCCGACTGACTCACTCACTCATGGAAATGTTTGGGGTCAAGGAGTGGTCGTAGAGACTTGCGGTTTTTTCCATTCACCTCTATCCTTGACAAAGCAGTCTTCAATATTTTCCGGACCTTGTATGCACCCATTGACTGCCACAGTAGCTAATGCAATACAAGCTATCTATTTGGGCAGTAAAAGTAGCTTAATTATTTGGTCAAAAGCTGTTAAATAGACCTTTCAAAAAAGCAGTACATTTACTTCCTTAGAAATTTTGCCTCTGGTTATCACCGACTTACTAAAAATACTTCGGTACGCGCCCCACACCTGCGGGGGTCTGGGGGCGGAGCCCCCAGCGAGCGTCGCGAGTAGAAAAATAAAGATTAACTAAAAAAAAAAATCCGCAGTCATTTCGGACGACTGTAGTGTTTCACTCAGTTTGTCACAGTTTTCAGGACAGTTGACTCTTCTGCAAACTAAAAAGCGTACACAGTGCATTCTTATTAGATCATGCTTCCAAGCACACTCTTATTTACAGCATACTTGCAAGGCAAGTGTGTCACACTGCAAGAAAAAGTGTGGATAGTACAACAAAAGTACAACAAAAACTGTACAATAAAAGTACAACAGGGATTGTAGAAAATACAACGAGAACTGTACAAACCACAACGAGCCCTGGACTGCACAGCACTCGTCATGCCGGTTCCATTGTACTTCGTACAACAATTGTTGTACTTGAAAAGTACACTACATTCCTGATAAAAAATTTGCCAGAAATTTGTGTACTGTTTTGCTGTGGTTATTTCCTGCAGTGCACCTGACCTGTCACCTGACTTGTCGAGAAGGTCGGGCTAAAGCCTTGGATTGTTGACAAAGAGGTCGAGTGGTTTGATTCCGGCCAGGATTTACCATAAGTACCCCGATAGTGAGATCGCTGACTCTCCAAATCATCGGCCGATAGTCCTTTTGAAAGTTGTCCAGCAGCTTGCGGTCAATATGTCGGCGAAACACTGACATTCAAAATGAGGTTCTTTTAGACCAATTATCCGTGCGGTGAAACTCAATCTGCGTTGTGCTGGAGCTGCGGTTGTGTAGATTTGACCTCAGATTTCTGCGATGTCTTCAACGCAGAATTGACGAATGTTGCCATTTTAACACAGTCGAAATAGTTCGCTACAGCAGCCGATTGGCAGCGAACGAAATTAAGTTCATGAAGCCAAATTAGGTTCTCAAATGAACAAAATTTCGGTAGTTAACAAGTATTTCGTTCAAACACCGAAATTATATTTTCGGTTGTCGTAGCCAACATTTTTAAAACTCGTCTCTAGGAGCACGAGACGTGTTTGTTCACGGAGTTTACTTTGAAATTCCAGATGGTCATTGAGATCTACGAAAATATCAATTTATGACTTTAGACTTGAATGACTCAGCAATTTAAAAGTAATCCTGAATACAAGGCAGGCCAGGCTGGGTTCGAGGGAACAATGGGGCCCTGGCTTCTTCTGTTTCGAGTCTGACATTATTTCCGACGGTTTCGAGATTGGCCGTGGCAAAAATGACACCCCAACTTATCCTGTCAATTTTCAGCTCTTTCGTCACAGCAAACGATAGATTCCCGTACATACACAACTTTGAACAATGAGTGTGTGAGCGTCCGTTTAGAGAAAGCACACTCCGAGTCGCGACAACCGAGCGTGCAAATGCCTCACCTCGCTCTTGAAACCGAAACGTACCTAGGCTGAAATTGAGCAGTCTCTCGTCCGGCTTGATCTTGCCCGTGTCGTCCAGAAAGCGCTCGGGCCGAAACACGCTTGGGTCAGTCCAGTGCTTCTCGTCGTAGTGGATGGAGTGGGTGTCGATGAGGAGAACGGTGCCCTGAAAGCGAGGGAACAGCTGCGGCGTTTGACATGCGTTCTTTACATGAACTATCTTATCTCAAAACTAACCTTGGGAATGTCAAATCCATCCAGCTTCGTGTCCCAGAGAGCCCGACGGGGCCCAATAATGGGCGCAATGTGATGAAAGCGCATCACCTCCATCAGAACGGCCTCAATGTAGGGCAGCCTGAGGGCAGTTCCAAGCAGTGAGAGGAATGTCCGCTGAACGTTTCTCTTGGGCTTTTCAAAGGAGCATCCTTTCAGTGTTTCGTCATACGTTTAAGGACTATACGATAAGCGCCCGCATAAAGTTTTTGAAGAAATGATTTGGATGTAATTTCCGGGTATCTAAGAGAAAGTTTATCGGAAGTTATTTATACAGTGTTTCAATCCCCCGCGCAGCCTCCTGGTCAAACCTAGGTTCCGGGGCCGCGGTCGAAATCTGGCAGTTTGGTTCCACGATTCCAGGTTTCTACATAGTGTTTGGTTCTTAAGCAAGCGCTCGGCAAAGTTTGTTTTCTTTTTGTTTGTGTTTTGAGGGCGGGGGCCTAGAGCTTTACCAAGTAATATTCTTACTTTTCCCTGTCGAGAAGTGCGGGCAGGCGACCCTCCCCTACGTTATTTTGTATTTCTTCAAAGCACCTTTCTTGGACATCGGCGTGCAATAGCATCGCCATCAAGGCAAAGTTGAGCGTGCTGCTGGTGGTGAGTGCGCCCGCAACAAACAAGTCAAGGCACACCATCACCAGTTGGTCATCTGGAACATACATGCGTTCGCCCATTCCCCCGTATAAACGTAGTAAAAATTTTCGGATCAGCGGTCCTGTTTTGCGGACACTCTCATTCCAGGAACGTGACAAAGTGTCACGTCCGTTTGAGCATTGTGTCACGTTCGTTTGAATGTGAACAAGCTGATTTTTGGCCAGTTCACATCCAAACGAATGTGACACAACGCTCAAACGAACGTTTGTTTCAACGTGATGTCACATTCCTGGAATGAGAGTGGAGTCGGTACTTAAACGCAACTTCTGAAACTTCAGAAAAAAATCTCATTCAACGAACGTTAATGAAAGCAGATGATACTCGTTTGGTTTTCTTTCGATGATATTTGTTTGGTATTGTCGTGTGTGCTAGTTGTAGCAGTGTGCTCTCATGTCTGTTTTGTATTTAAAACTGCAAATAAGAGTGAGAACATGTATGAATAAAAATTATATTCTTTAGGATGTGTCATTGTAGAAATATTAAAAGTATTTACATTTTTCCTCCTCCTTCGCCTCGCGAGTAAGGCGGTGCCTCGTCGTCCGCATGGGACTGCCGGCGCTGTACCGGGGGAGTGAGTGGCCAGTGAGCAGGCCGTCGCGCGCGAAGAGGGGTGCCATTGTCGATGTTTCGCGCAGACTGCGAGCCATGCCTCACTCACCATCCCGCCCCGGCTGCCAGCCCCTATTATTGTAAGGATTCACACTTTGGTTTCTGGACTCTCGAGTAAAAGCTAGCTGACACCTTTATGTGTCTTGTATTGTTCTAGGTAGCAATAAAGGTAGCAGTAAAGGTATCATCTGCTAAAAAAATTGGGGGGGCTCAAAAAGTATACGTATATACCAAGTTTGGTCCAAATCCACGAGGTGTTGGCAAATGGCTTGCCCTTTAGATGTGGAATCTGTCACCTAGCCCGACAAAACCAGTCCATCAAACCGGATTGAGACTAATTCTTTGAATTTCTTTAGTTGACAGGAGACAGGTTGGGGCAGGGGGCTCGCAAAAGTTGCCTACCTAGAGGGGCATTGTAGCTGCCTGCCTGAATACCGCATTGCATACCCCTCTAACCCGGCTTTAGGACACCGCCAGCGGCAGGACGGGGCCGCGCGTCGAGTGTTGCCACTCCTGTAAATTTTGCCAGAGTGCCAGAAAAATGTCTGAAATCCTGATAATTCGCGCACCCTCTGAAAGCTGAAATTCTGAAAACTTACTGTGATATTATGGCGTGAGTTCTACAGAATGTCAGGAGATGTTTTCAGCTTTCAGAGGCGCGCGAATTTTGATCAGGTTTTCTGACAGGTTTCTGACATTCTGACAAGATTTACACGAGTGATGTGCGTCGTGGCGTGGCGCCTGTCAACACGGGGCGATTATTCCGTATCGCAATGCCCTAGGCTTCAGATCGATAAACTTTATGCCACTATTCTGTTCTCAACTGACAAATACTGATCCTGTTTCGATTTTTCGATGTCACGTTCCTCCTATGAAAGTACGGCTGAGTCGATCACCATCAAATTCATAGGATGTGATGTTAACGAACCCGTGAAGGTGGACTCGATGCCCTCCTTCTGGTGAGCCTTGGTCTCATGCAGGTAAGCATCGATGAGGTCCCTGGTGCGGCCCGGGTTGTAACTAGTGTGGTGGGCAGCTATCGTCTCCTGAAATGTTTGGAGACGTATAGAGGACTCTGCAAACTGAAGTGTTTACATAGTACACTCTTATTAGAGCATGCTTCCAAGTACACTCTTATTTACAGCACACTTGCTAGGCACACGCTAAAATAGAGTGTGCCTGGCAAGTACACGCTAAATAAGTGTGTACCTTCCATGTACGTACACGCTAAAATACACTCGATAAGTCCTATCTAAAAGCATGGGCCAGTTTAAGTGTACTTGCCAGGTACACTCTTATTTAGCGTGTGCATGCAATGTACACTATTTTAGTGTGTGCCTAGCAAGTATGCTGTAAATAAGAGTGTACTTGGAAGCATGCTCTAATAAGAGTGTACTATGTAAACACTTCAGTTAGCAAGCAGGAGCAGACGGGGTTTGGGATAAGTCACCAGCGGTGATACACTGTTAAAAATTATGTTGTAATTTAACAGTAAATATGTTGCTAATTTTCTTAATGATCAAAGTTGTTTTCAAATGACTTTCGTTGTTTACTAACGAGTTGCGTCGTTCGTCCACAAGACGTTTGTAAACCGGTAGACAGCCTTATTTGCATCAATTTTTATTGCCGATTAGGTCACAGACCTAGTAGAGCCCCGGTTACCCCGCAGTAACCACTTCTTAGATTGTCCGGGTTGTTTGTACGCAGCAAAATATTGTTTTGAAACAGCATAAGTCATAAAAATAATTAGCAACGAATTCGTTGTTTTAAAACAAGCAAACTTGTTCACAAACAACAGCGTTGTCGAGGTTGGTAATTGTGTTGTTGTTTTAGAACAACAATTTTTAACAGTGTAGGACCCAGAACGTTCTCTTCTAACCAGGGATCAAACTCGCGGGAAGCTTGAATTTCAAATACCTTCCTGCGATTTTTCTGCCATTTCAGCAGAGGTTATGACTCACCACGAGTTTCATGGCACTGTGGGACACGCAATCATTAAAAGTTTTATGACTTGATCTCGTGAAACAAATAAAAGTTAGGTGTTTGGAGGTTCTGGGCGATTATGTACTGCTTGTTGCCTGCCCGCCTGCTCTGCAGGCGATATCGCTGGGGGTCCTTTTTTCATTAAGGCAAAATTTTTGTGAGGAATTTTTAACGCCCCCGGGTGACTTCTAAACATGCGTCGATTCCTTTTAGGCACCATGCTACTATTTAATCGTATGTGAGCATTAAACTCCATGCCATACAGCTATCACATTTTGAATGTTCCCGCTCATTTGATCCCCAGCGAGCCTTCATTTGTCTCGATGTGCTCCTGCTCTATCCAAAAGAGATCTTCCCCCTCCTCAAGACTGGTAGAGTGACATGCACCTTTAACAACAGCGGAATTTTCCAGACCAACTTTCCGAGTTTATGGCTCTATCGATTAGTCTTTTCAAAGGCAAGAAAATGATTTTAGATTTGACATTCTCTCAACCTCTTCCCCCTAAACTGGGGACAGTACCTCTAGCAGCTCTTTGAGTGAGGTGTTGAACCTGGCGATTAGGTTGTACCCGCTACGCTCCGGAGCGAGGTATCGAAGCCAGGGCAGGGTGCTGAGGATGCCGCCCGCCATGTCGAAAGCTTTGGCGCGCTGTGCAAGGAGGTCAAGCACCCGCTGCAGCTGCGGGTCGGCGTGTGGGAAACGGGTGCCAGCAGTCAGCGCCCACAGCACGTTCAGCACGGAGCGGGGCAGTAGCGGGCCAACACACACGGCCCAACCCTGCAAGATCGCCAGCATGTCAGACAGACACGTCATGGGTCTGATATCACGATGTTAATGTTATTTGACTGACCCTTGCAACTTTTCTTTAAGAGTTTATAGGCCCAAATTTTACACCCATTGAACCCACAGACCCTCAGTGTCAGTAAAATTTGGTACGAGACGTTACAGATTTTTGTACAGGTGAACTTTGAGCACAATTTTCTTAAGAAACAGCGCCAATTTTCGTCACATTTTGAGTAAAGTTGCGTACAAATTTGTGCCAAAAGTTCAGTGTGCAAATTTTGAACCGATTCTGTGACCAAACCCTTGACTTCAGTCTACCATGGGACGTAGTTCCTCAAACGTATCGAGCGCAACCATCAATATACATTGTTTGCTGATTTTAAGATCTTAGGACGCACCTGCTCAGCTGCGGGTTCCAATTCACTCAAAAGGTCGGTGAGCTCTTCGAGTATGAGATTCTCCATGTGCGCTTTTCCGTAGCCAAGCTGTCTGAAGTGGCGCACAGCGAAGCCCCTTTGTTCTGTCCACAGCGGCCCTTCGACAGAGGTGATGCCTGGAAGAAGATAGAAGGTGCGGTGGGGTGTCACTCATGTTAAGGAGAGCAGGTTCGTTTCACTTTTTTGAACCCCCTCAGTTGCAGATGCTGTGCTAATGCTTGGCATACCAAGGCGCTGTACAATATCCGGTCGACGCATCAACTTTCCCTCAATAGCGTCCATTATCTTCCATTGGCTCTAGTACGCTTCGCTGAGTTCTCTCAGAAATACTAATTAACTTAGTTACTCTCCGAACTTAACTGTGTACATAGCATGCCTTCAATGAGAAATGAATGGGTCACCACCATCACCCTTCAAATGGGTGATACATCTTCGTTGCCCGATTTTGGGTGACGAAAAATTCATCAGCCGAAATTTGGTAACAGACGTTAGGTCGCCCAAATTTGGGTGGCTGTACATTGTTTAGAACAGTGAGCGTACAGGCACACTTTAGGACAGTGCGCATGGAGGCATACAGTCTAAAGTGTGTTCCATGCAAAGTGCACAAGAGTCGTCTTCACTGAGATTCCAAACGCTATGAGTATAGCACGTATGGTGCAATGCGCTTAGATATCGCACCATACGTGCAACGCCACAGCCATATTGCACCTTAGGTGCAATGCTTCCGGAAAATGCCCTATGCTAATGCATAGGAATTGGGAGGCATTGCACTTCATGTGCAATGCTTTTGCATTGCACCAATTGACGCTATACTCATAGCGTTTGATTCTCAGTGTTGCTTGGACTCTGTTCTTTTCTATCTCATCGACAAACTTGAGTTAAAAATTTCTGAAAATCGTTTTTGTTTAAATTGTGCGTTGCCTTAATTGAAATACTGAATTTCGAGTGACCACCAAAAATTAAAAAAAAAAAAAAAAAAAAAACAAGCGTGTTGTCCGACGAAAGAAGTCCTTACCTTTCCGCGTTCCCATGCAGCGCAGTCGCATGAAGAAGTTGTCGGGGCGCCCCAGGAAGGCGTCTGATGTGAGCGCTTCGATCGCGGCTTCGTAACCTGTGGTCACGACTAGCAGGTCACCACCCAACCGCAACCCCAGCGTGGTTGTACCATATTTCTCGCACAAAGCCTCGAAAGCGGCGTGCTGCGAGCCCAGCTTGCGCACCAGGCCCTTCAGGTCCAACAAGTTGCCGAGCACAGGCAGCCATTGAGGACCTGGAGAGAACAAGAGACTCGTTAATTTCGGTCCAAAACCTTGATAAATCACTTTTACCGTTACAGCATTTTTCGCGAGGGCCGAATCACTCAGCGTTCTGGTGTACACATGAGTACATGAGTACGGGTGAGTACACCTTGCTTTACTCGTAAATTTCACAATTTTAAACGTTTTAAGGCTTTATTTAGCGTTTTTAACGGAACTCAACGATAAATCGGTCGAAAAACTAGAGAATTTCACCCTTTTAAAACTTGGGAGTACACTGAGTACGGGCAAATTTGTACCCATGAGTACACTAGTGATTCACCTCTCGATTTTTCGTCACATATTGATGACTTTTTCATCAAAGCTCTCTATACGTATTGCATCAGCTTGACAACAATGTCATCAATTGATTTGATGACGTTGTTGTATGGTAAACTAGCCTCGAAATTGTCATCAAGTGACGACTCAAATTTTCACAGAGCACACGACCAATGCCTTCCCGCCCGATATCTCCAGTGGGCTTTGCTATCGCCCAGCCCAGATAAAGTAAAATGTTTAAAAAAAATTATATTTTGGAGAGGCAGCTTGTCTTGGGACCAGCCTTCCATGTGGATAGAAAGGCTGGGGTGGGGTTAGGGCGGTGAAGAATCGGACACCCTATTTTTAGACTGGATTTCTTAATTTTGAGACTAACACAGTTACGCGTTAGTGGAGGGTTTCGTTAACCAGTAGAAAGCGTTTCCGAGTGTCAAAATGTGACGCTATGAGCTAGTAAGCGTCAATTGGTGCAATGCGTATGAAGACGTTTTCATGACACTAATTGGAGCAACATCACCACACGGTTATTCTGCGATACAGATCACACGTTCAGCGTAATACAAATTTCATCGCACTTTTCTCTGATGATCATTGCAACAAGGTGTGATCAGCTGTTGCATCACAGAATTTTGCAATGATCATTGTAATAAGTTGTAATGATTGCAGGTCGTCGCAGTCTTTTGCAATAATTTCGATTTTCATTGCAGAAATAATGGGCGGCGTTAATCGCACAATTTCGTGATACAAAAGTCAGTGCATCTGAGTAGCAATGATTCGTGGGAATTTCATTTTGGAAATCATCGCACGTTTTTGTGTTGAAAGTACCGCAAGTTGGATGACAGTGCAATTGTGCCATGTTCAGTGCGAGGGGTACGAATAGTCTGGGGACCAATGTTCGTGGACGAGATGCCCTAGACCTGAAGCCTCGACAAAGCCTCTCAATCTGTTGAAAGTGCAAGTGAAGCTCCGATTGCCGTAACTGAAGACGGAAAGAATTATCAGCTGACCCGATGGAGCCGCATTTCTAGCGAGAGTGGATTAGATAGGTAGAGAATGGAGGATAATCTGTCAAACTTAATTCCTTTGGTCACATGTGCAAGCTTGGTTTGCTCCTAGTTAGCCCCCCACAAAAAACAGGGATCCTTAAATTAACATTTTACTTAACACTGCTTTCTTAACGTAACTTATAACAATGTTCGCTAAGGTTAAGGGTACGGACTTATGCAAGTACTTCCAAAAGTATCTCCACACAAATTCGAGACACAAGAAAAATAACTTGTTCTTTTGAAAATAAATTCAGATGTTACGGGTTACAACTTGAGCTCGTAAGATAACGTTATGATGCCCTTGTGAGGTAAGTTAAGGATCCCTGCAAAGAACAACATCGTGAACAGTAGTGACGCTTTAATGTAATTCATTTTTTGGCCCGCCCTTCTGCTTACGGGGGGAAATTTGCCATTCTGTGAAAAAAAAAAGATTTTTCTTTTAGACATTTTTTAATTCTTGAGTCTCAGATGAGTACACTCGAACGAGAGTGTGCTTAGATGAGTACACTCTGACGAGAGTATGCTTAGATGAGTACACTATAACGAGAGTGTGCTCAGATCCTGCACTCTCAGCCGTTTACTGACTATTTCTCATTAGCAGACGTATTTCTGTAAGCAACCATTTGTTAGTTTTACGTTCTTAAATACTTAAAGTTTTTTTTGTACGTAATTTACTAAGAAAACGGCAATATCAGTACAGTAATTAGTAATTGCTAAGTAATACTGACAAAAAATACTAAGTATTATGGTGCTTACAGAAATGCGTCTGCTAATGAGAAATAGTCAGTAAACGGCTGAGAGTGTGGAAATATAGGCAGTTGAGTACACGCTCGTGAGAGTTGCTCGTGAGCACACGCTGAAGAAAGTGTACTCGTCAGTACACGCTGAAGAGAGTGTACTCGTGAGTACACGCTAAAGAGAGTGTACTGAGTACACTGTTGAGTTTGCGGAGTAGAAGGACTAACTTTTCGGGTGCTTCCAGTCAAGTTAGGACCGTTGGACTCACCTGGTGGGAAGTTGAGTGGCCTGAGAAATTGCAGCGCTTGACGAATGATGAGAATGACAATGGCGCAGCCCCACAATACCAAAGCCAACATGATGTCCGGTGACAGAAGCCGCAATCTGAAATACGTCCGTTGAACACAAGACTAGCCTTCACAGGTCGTTTCGGTCAGGTCGTCTGCACAGACGGAAGTTTGAACCAAGAGCGACCTTTGTAAATGCGAAAATGTATTTTACATTACAAGAAATCACGGTGCAGTCGTGATACGTTTCTTTAGTATTGTAGGCGTATTGTAAACAAAACATTGTGTTTAATTATACAAATCTCTTTTTCGTATTGGAAAATAAATTGCGTCTTTTTATTTTCTGGTGGGTTTTGTCACGTATTAAGTACTCACGTACTGTCACGTCTTAAATATGTTTTGTATTACGAAAAAAGGTTTTGTAATACAAATCAGACGGCTTTCTTTTGTAATGCAACGTCATCGTGTAGAAATAAAAAAGAAAGTTTTATAATACGAGACTGGCGCAGACTTCGGTGTAGTAACATAGAGTGAAATCCTCACACTGTAAATCCAAAGGCAATACTTTTAGTACCTTTTTGGCGATACAATTGAGTATCGCCAATAAACGGCCTTACGGAAAAGTATTGCCTTCAAAACGGCGATACGCAAAAGTATCGCCAAAATTTGGCGATACTTTGGAGTATTGCCACGATTTGGCAATAAACGTCGAACAAATCAAGGGGACAAGACCTTGGTATAATGCCGTGGTTTTGGCAATATCCAATAGTATTGCCAAATTTTGGCGATACTTTTTTGTATCGCCGTTCTGAAGGCAATACTTTTCCGTAAGGCCGTTCATTGGCGATACTCAATTGTATCGCCAAAAAATGTACTTTGATATCGCCGTTGCATTTGCAGTGCAGTACGTACTTGTGAGTGTGGTGGGATGAGGGAATGACACCGTGCACTCCGCTCCCCGCCCGATGGCCGTCGACGCTCCTGCTGCTCTGCGGCACCGGCGGCGGGCCGCAAGTTTTATCTAGGAGCTCCGTGGCAAGCCGTTTTCAATGCGATAGCTTGGCAACCTTGGCCCGTCCAAAATTTGGCAAGCTTATGAAGATTTGAGATTTTAGGTCAAAACTTGTTAAATCTTGGCATTCAAAATGGCTTGCCAAAGTTGTGGCAAGCAAACTTTCCGCTGCCTTTAAAGTGATCTTGTACGGGCGGGCGGGCCTCGGGTCGCGCCGCGTATCACCACGCCTTGAAGCTATCCATAGTAGCACGCGAAGTCCTATCAAAAGAAATGTAGTGTTGCGTGGTACACTCTACAGAAAATGTCCTGTCAACGCCGTTAATTTATTACCAATGTTTGCTGTTATGCAATTCACGGCGTTTGCTGTGAACTAGTTCACGGCGTTTACTGTGATCTCGGTTACAGTGTTCACTGTGATCTGGCCACAGTAAACGCCGTGAATTGGAGCCTGATTTGCAGTACTTCGGTGCTCAGCGGCGTCAAACTCACAGTGTTTACTGGGGACCAGATCACAGTGAACACTGTAACCGAGATCACAGTGAACCCGTGAACTAGTTCCAGCAAACGCTGTGATTGCCCTACAGTGAAAACTGGTAATAAATTAACGGCATTTACAGGACATTTTTGGTAGAGTGTAAAGACCACATTTAACTGAAAGTTCAAAGTCTTAAAAGACGTTTGGATCGAGTAAGACAGAAAATACGGCTTAAAGAAAGAAATACCAAAATCATTTACACACTGCCCCACTCTCCCTTTCTTGCCAAAGTATAGGCCGGACGAGTGAGGTCTGGGGTTGTGTTCATCCGCCAGGACCAGAGGGACTATGTTACCATGTTAATCTTATGGGACTGATTTTCGGAGTGCCCATTGTAAACTTATTAGACATTTCTTAAGCAATGCAAGTGCATTTTTGTGATGGCGGTTTTTTAACGACTCTGGACGAGTTTTTGGGGTCTAAAATGTTTAGGAAAGGATTTTCGTAAAACCTGCAGACGGAGCTAAAAGCTTACGGTGAATTCCTCATACCCTCGGTTTGTTGTTGATATGATGGCCCTGTCTGCTGTGTTCTGTGGTAGTCTTTTTCTTCCCACAAACAGTCTTGAATCGCCAGAAAACATTTTCAACCTAAAATTAGATTGGTTATATCTGTGATTTCATCCAAATGCAAAGCACAGTTTACTTTCAAGTGTACAAAGAAAACAGAATGCTAGCAGAATGGCCTGCTTTGGCGCGCGGCCCGGCTACGGGGTATGAGAAATTCACCGTGAGGATAGCTCGTCGGCCGTCTTTATATCACATTATTATAGAAGTAGGCAATACAATTTTTGTTTTATCGAGCTGAATCGTATTTAAAACAGCTGTTCTTTCCATTTCAAAACATTTAATTGCTAAGAATTCTGTATTTTATGCTGTCAGCGTGCTTCTCCATGCTATCATATGGGAGCCTTGTCCTGGGACTATCTGCGGAGGGATACGACTCGTCCAGTCTATTGCAGTAGTCCCGAGTCTTCCCGCACCAGTCGATCGAAGTATGGCAATCAACTTAAGTCGTGATCGAGAAGCCGTCTACTGCGCTCGCACACTTAAGGGAAGGTGGTGGTGGTGGTGGTGAGGGGGGGCCCTCAAAATCCATGTTAATGCCTCAACCTGTACTGACATTTTTCTTAGTAAATTACAAAGAAATTTTTAAGTATTTAAGAACTAAGTACTTAGTATTATGGTTGCTTACAGATACGTCTGCTCATGAGAAAAAGCAGTAAACGGCTGAGAGTGTGATTTTACCAGTGTGTCAACCACACTGAAAATGCATGGGATATGCGGTGGTCATTTTACCAAGGACTTTTAGCATATTTGACGTGACACACACAAACTGTTCGTACTTACTTACGTTATAAGTCCTAAGGCGATATACCTGAGCATCCTTGTATGGAATTCACTTGGGTATCGTCAACAAACGGCCTTACCGAAAATCTGACCTTCAAAACGGCGCCGTCCTTTACGCCCTTTTGCCTCCAAAGTCCTATACAAACTCATGCCTTTCTCGCAAGGGCTTCACTGCAATGCCAGTGGTAAGTTTAATTGCCACGAATTTGGCAAGCCGTTTTGAATGCCAAAAATTGGCAAGCTGGGCCCGGAAATACTCCCCAGCTTGCCAAAATTTGGCAAGCTTATGAAGAGTGCCGTCCAAAGCTTGCCAAATTTTGGCATTCAAAACGGCTTGCCAAATTTGGGGCAAGCAAACTTACCACTGGCTTTGAGGTGATGGAAGGACTCACGCCGTTCCAAGAGCGTGAATCGTTTACGTACGCCCCTTACGGATAAAGTCTTTGTGCCTTTGTTTCTGCAGTGCAATAGACCACGGAATCGATCCGGGAGCTCCACTCTCGGCTGGCCGCGGGCAGTGAGTTCTTGTCTGCGCGCGGACGATGCTTGCCGCGAGGGAGAGAGGCTCGCGGCCCTGCATGTGGGCCAGACTGTGTTCGCTGCAGTGGCGCTTCGAGCTGTTTCTGCTGCGCCTTGGGGGCCACAATTGCAGCACAGGGTGGCCGCCAAGACCCACGCGGTTCGCGACGTCGTACTGCATTGTCGTCATGATCTCGTACACGTTGCTGAAGATTTACAACCACCACGCGTACTACCGTGAAGTCTCCAAGCCCGGTGACACGGCCTACCTGACATCGGTGTTCACAGCAGACACCGTGTTTAAGAACTTGGCCTCCTTGGCTCTTCAGGTTTGTTCCTGCAAATCCAAGTGTGGGACAGGCATACATACGTTAACGTTGGGCCTGAACTGTCCCAAACCATGGGACACTTCGTCAATTTTCAAGTGTGGGACCGCCTTACGTTTGCCTGGCTCACACTTGGGTTTTACATTCAGTATATCTTTGAACATTTGACGGGACCAACCCCCAAACAATTAAATGTGCTGCGAGGGCCAGCCAAATGCAAAAATAGGCACCCCCCTCTGAACTGTTGGAGTCCTCGGCCACTTTCTTCATACGAAGCCACTTTCCTCAATCTCGATTAAAATGAACAGCAAAGAAACTGAAAACAGTAGGAACCAATTTTGACTTGTCCCATAAAACGCGTTGCCATTCACGCCAAATCAAGGCGTGACTCACATGTCACGCCGGTTATCGGCGTGAATTTCGTGTCACGCCAATTTTTAGCGTGACTTTTTGTCACGCCATAATTTTGACCATGTGTCCGACCATTACGTTTTCAGTGCCGTCATGTTCTTAGAGATAGTCTCTCTAAAGTCGCGCTCAGCGGGTTTGGGAACGTTAGGGACTATTCCGGAGAATATGACGGTGATCACTGGCCAACACTGGTAAAACTAAAGCGTAACTCTATGCTTGAGTCAAGCATAAAGCTACGCTTGAAGAAGTTACGCTTGAAATCAAGCATAGACTAGAAATTCCCCCATGCATTTTGATAGGGGGAATCTTGGCGGATGAGCCTGTTACTCTTGATTTCAAGCGTAACCTGATTACGCTTGAAAACAGTGGGTAATAATACGCTTTAGTTTTACCAGTGAAAATGCAGCTTATTTTATTGTTAGGGCTATATTTCAATAACGCCAGAACGTCAAAGTAAGATTATCGACCTTACCGAATCTTTTCGCGAACCCTGTTGTGGGATCACCTAAAACGAGGCACGGTTCGTTCCTTCCCCAGATGTTGTTGATCCGGCACCGCTTTGAGCTATCCGCTCTGGTGCGCTACCTCGTCGACTACACGTCTTGGTGCGCACCCTCTGAGGGTTCGTGGCGAGGCATCACCCTGGTGCTGACGGGGTTCTTGGCTGGTTCCTTCGGGCTTCCGTCCGTCAGCATCGCTTCCCTCGGCGTGTCGGTGCGTGGTGTTTCCCACTGTCAACTGACTCAAGTGTGCACAGCATGCTTCAGGTTGGAGCAGGCTCTGCATGGACACTAGCAGTTCTCGCGAAATGGTTAATTTTAAGCCCTGAAACTTTTTGAAAAAAAAAGTTCAATTGAAACCGGGTTTTTGCATTTATCTTGTTGGCTGAGCGATAGCGAAGCCCTTGCCGTGTTTGGGCGCGCTGAAAAGTGACTGGTCGTGAGTCTGTCTGTCTGTCTGTCTGTGTGTTTGTACTCACCAACGATTCTCAGCAACTACAGTGGCTATAGTTTCAGATTTCGTATTTAACGTCGCCTTAGTACCCCCCAAACACGAGTTTGTTTCAAATCGTTGTTTTGTATCGTTTGAAATATTCAAAACATACTTTTGAATCAGGTTATTAGCATGGTTAGGTTGGCAGCACTCAGCACTCACGAATTTCTCATACCTGCGGCCTCGGCTCTCAAATACGGGACAGAAGCAAAAGCAAATAAAACAAAATAACGAGCAGAAGGGTTTGGAAATGAGATCGGCCATAGTTTTTCCACATTCTAGAATGATTAAAACCATTTTAGAGTATCAACACAGCGAAATATGGAGAATGGCAGTGAAAATGATTTACGTGTTTCGTTCCCCTCTCCCCCCTCCCCCTTTCGAAGGGAATCTTCTTCAGGTCAGTGCACTTTGACAGAGCAGTGTAAAAAGAATGTTTTTATTTTGACCTTTTGTATTGTGGGCATCTACTTGTTTCATTTTCTATAGTGTCATCCTCTTTTTTAAATTTTCACAGTAGAGGAAATCAGGGAAATGCATAAATAACTTGTGTTGAAATTAGCTGGCATACTTAGTTTGGACTCGAGAAATTCATTCTATTGCAATGCTGCAAGCTGACAAGAGTGCAAAAGCACTAACATGATTTATTAATAGAATCAATGTATGGTTGTGTATATTTAATCCTAATATTTGAATTGATATTGGTTTCAAAGAGACGACTCAGGTTTTGAGCGGTGAGTGAATTGGTGATTGGATTTAGTGAGACGATTCCTTTAACTTCACCGAAGTTAATATAACTGGTACTACTCAGTATTGTTTACATGAGTAAGATAAATTATGTCGGTTCATTAAGCCTTGGGTAGCCTTGGCATTGGACTCTATGTGACGAATCACTGGATTTGACAATAATTGGTCCCCGTTAACTGGTTTAGATCAGCCTACCCTAAACTGACTCTCTTAATATTTACTGTGATAACATGTTCCAATCAATATTGTTTTATTCACTGGTTCACAATGAAAGAATGACAAAATGTTTCATAGATATTACTTATAAAATTGAGAATTCATTAGTTAAGAAAAAAGAGATATCGAATAGTGACCCAATC